CAAGCTCTATCTGCTGCCCTGCGGGAGCAGCCGAATATCACTATAAAAACCGGCGAGGCCGTGCAGGATGTCGTTTACAATAAAGCTAACCAGCAAGTTCATGTAAGATATCTTCCCCCTATAGCCTGGTCGACGTTCCTAACAGCATATGTCAGATTACAAGTTCCAACGCCAAGAACAAGTCCAACCACAACTCCAAGGTATACGATAAGGTCATCTCAACGCTATCTGCACAAGACATTGCTCGTCTCGCAGGAGACAAACTCCCTTCGCTCTCAACAGCACACTCCGTCTCTGTCATGACTGTCAACATCTGGTTCCCTCAAGAAAATCTGAAGCCTCCCGGTTTCGGCTATCTCATCCCCAACTCCGTGGCCCCTGAGCTTAACCCTGAGCACGCTCTCGGTGTCTTTTTTGATTCGGACGTTCAGACTCGCTCCAAGGATGAACCCGCTGGTACCAAGCTCTTCGTCCTCATGGGCGGCCACTACTACGATCGTCCTGATGTCACCCCCCCTACTGAGGAAGAGGCCATTATCCAAGCTCGCAATCTGCTCGAGCGTCATCTCGGCATCCCACGCGATGCTCCCGCTTATGCCACGGCCAATTTTGCTAGAGAGTGCATCCCTCAGCACTATGTTGGCCACCAGGATCGCCTGAAGGCTGCGCACACCGAGTTAACACAGAACTTTGGCGGGCGACTTGCTGTCGCTGGTGGTTCATTTACTCGCATTGGTGCTGTTGCCAGCCTGCGCGCCGGCTATGATGCTGCCACGGCGGCGAAGAAGGGCCTTGAAGCGACGGGCTTGGAGTATCTTAACGACATTCAGCAATTTTCTGTCGTTGCAACTTCGCATATCCCTGTGCGACATTTTAAGTAGCAGGGAATAATGCATGTATATGCCTTGGTGATGGGACAAGGCCAGAGGTATTTAGAACGGAAAAGCGAATGCATATTGGGACAAAAAGCTGCATTATCACTTGAGGAGCAATAGAAAGACATAGGCCACTTCTTGCAGCGAGATGCAATATACGTCAAATCATCTACAATAATGTCTACTCAATCCACGGTTTTATTAGCCTGAACCGTATTCAATATAATGGTATTCAGTGTTCATATAGAGGTATCATTAAGCTATCGCAAAAACACTCATCCGCTTTGTTTAAACCCTCCATTTCGCCGCTCGTCTAATGATGATAATAAAAAAGAAGCCCCTCCGACACCATGGTTGATGGAAATTAAGCTCGTCGTAATATGCGAAGCGTGTTGTTTTACTCCAAGATGACCAATTCTGAGTTGTTTTGGAAAGTCGGGCCAGCCAGTGGCCGGATAGCTTCGTCGATGGCTAGAAGAAGGCCAATGATGCCATTCTCTGGTCGGCCTGCTGCTCCAGTGACAAGACCGCGCCAGTTATCCCCCTTCCCATCCCAAACGGGCTTGAGTGCTGCAGAAAATTCATCGTTTGAAGGCCAGCCGCCGGAGGGGATCTTCCGCTCGATATGCCACCATGGCTCGCCTCGACGCTGCTTGATCTGGCCGAGGAATGTGATGCTGCGCTGTACCTGTTTGTTACCGGCGCCAGTGTCGGCAAGGAGGTACTCAAATGACATCTCATCCGTTGAATTCATTACAAACTTGAACCGTCCCTGACGACGGGCTTCGATATCGGACCATGCCTCCCTGATCTTCTTGAAGGCTTCCATGGTTGGTAGGGACACGGGGAGCCAGTCCATAAGAGCCCCAATACCATTGGCACCATTGACAAGCTTTTGCATCAAATCAGTGACTGGAAGATGAGGATTGGTCTCCTGCACCTGGATGTCAATATCATTGTTGGAGAGGTCCAGTGCCACTCTCCAGAGGCGCGAGGCTTCGGCGTTCTCGACCGCCTGTGATGCTGGAGGCCCATAAGAGAAAGTCACCTCCTTCAAACTCACTGACTCGGCCTTGATAAAGCCCCTCGCCTTATCCAATGATTCAAAGAAGCTGACAAACCGATCCACGGCTTTGACCCGAGCCTTGAGGTTCTCCAAGATAGATCGTCCGATATTTGAACGCATCCTTAAGCAAAATTCGCCTGTACGCGCTTCCCAAGAGACATCGCGACCAACCATGTGGCCCTTGAGCATGACGAACTTGGCGGGTTTGCGGACCTTGATGATAGCATCGGAAACGCACATGAAAGAAACATCTGAGATGGGACCACCTGCACCAGAGGCTTCTTTGTCGACAGGCTCTACACCCTTAAACCTGATTGAGACAATATCGTGCGCCCATGGTTGCCTGGTAGAAATGCCCGATGTGGAAGCTGTTGGCGCAACTGGTCCAAGCCTAGAGGTCTCTGGACCAGTGTTGGACTCATCTGCAGCGTTTGCATTATCCTTCTCCGCCATGTTGAAGACCATGGATGGGAAGATGTCTGAGAGAGAGATTTCGAGGGTCGGGAGTCGGACCTGCTGGGGAAGAGACCAGTTTCTTGTGTCTTGCAGTAGGAACTTGATGTTGTGCCGATACAGCTCGTGTTGGTCCACTGCCTGAGCAATCATGCCGGTCGCGAACAGGGTTAGGTTGTTCCAGAACTCATCTTCAAGATGAGGATAGCCCTTGTTAAGAGGAAGCTTCGATGACAAGCGATTCGACTGTCCATTTGCATTGCGGCTGCTATCAAACATGTTAGTGCATCGCAAACACAGCTATTGGTACTTTATCCCAACTTACACATCGACAAGCCACCACGCATCCCCGCTCGGACTCAGCATGACCATAACGAACCAGTTTGGGTCCCAGCCAGTCCTCTGAAGCCAAATCGTCTTGGTCCATTCGCGGGTATTGGTCAAAGATCTCAACTCATCCTTGGTCATAGAACTCTTCTTGGTAGTCCAGCCTGCCGTGCTTCCACGGCGAATAAGTTCATCTTCCATGACTCCACATCTCACATTCTCCAAGCATGCTGCACCGTCATCCGCCGGATTCTTTCCATTATTCAATAAATGCTCATGTTGAATGGTGAACTTCGAATGAGGCTTGACAGCGAAAACACCAGTTGTAGGTTCCACAAGCAAGGATGCGCTATCTTTGTAACCGACCTGCATACTTAAAAATGAGGTCGCTGGATCATCGTGAGAGATGTTCAAAATCATGGCAGCATCTCGATTTTGGAAACGAGGGAAGGCCTGTAATCTGTTGTGTATGCTACCCAAAAGGAATTCAACATGACGGCCAATGACCGTCTTCAGAAGAGTCTCGGCTGATAAATTGTCGGCATCGAAAGTGATCTTCGTGTCCTTCACTTCCTTGTTGTCTCGATACCATTTAGCCGTCAAGTGACTTGACGACTTGGGATCAGGTTGGCCGTTGGGCTTCCGGCCGCTATTGACGGCGATTAGGATCCAACTCTTCGGACTACCAAGCTGTGTGCGCGACGTCCAATATTGAATTGCCAGCGCTCGATTAAGTGGCTCGACCTTGAGGGTTCCCGTCCATGAACCTCTGCTAAGTTGAGTTGCTTGTCTCTTGAGCTCGTTGAGCTTATGTGTGAGGACCAGTTCGTGAAGGAATTGATAGCAGCCTAATAGTCCGTCTTTGCTGAGGATATCATTTACCTGCCCCTCTAGGTAATTCTTTAGACCGTCGGGAATCGAGGATGCTGCTGGCTCAAAAGCGAACCGGAAGTCGATGAACCAAAACTGTTTCTCGAAGTCTTCGTCTGCGATTGTGAGATCAACCTCGAATTCTCCCGCAACTTTGAATGTTACTCGGCCGGAATCGATATCGTAGTTTCTGAAGTGATATGGGATCTTGTCGAAATCTTCGAGGTTAAGTCGCAATGATAGTTGGGTATCGAGATCGCTGATCCATTGAATTTGTTCCTGTCGTGTTAGGGGTGGTGGCTCGATATACGAGAGCTGGTAGCAAGGTCAGCTTGATCGCCTTTATCTCGCGATGCGCAAAACCTACATCAGGCATCCAAGCGGCCTCTCCAGTTGACAGTACCTGGAGGGCTGTTTTCAGATCAGGGCTTGGCATTCTCGCAAATGTTAAATCCCTTTTGACGTGACCCATAACATCCAGTGCTCCGGAGAACAAGACCTCTTGCCCTTGGAGGTGAAATCTCAGGTCAATAAGCTTGCTAACCATGTCGGCTTTCCGACTCCATTCTGTAATCACGAGCGCTTTAACCCATTTCCGATGCTCCCTCATAGCAAAGTTCAGTATCGATGTCTTCTTGGCAATATTCTCGCCAGATCCGTCTTCGATGTCGCTGCTCGGTACTGTCGAGTTTCCATTCATGGCGGCAGTAGGCAAAGGCATCTTTGCCAGTGCGGCAATCTGATCTTGGAGCGCATTGTGAGTCGATTGCGCGAGTCGCGTAAGAACCTTGGAGAGTGGTATGTAGCCCTGAGTGATGTGGACTATTTCGCCGGCAGGATCGCTCATCCTGGAGGAGTGGGTGGTTGGTTGTAGTTGTTGATATCAGGGCGAGGTAGATGGCGAGAAGTCTTCAAAGCCGCTGGGATAACGAATGAAGACCTGCCAGGTCATGTGAAAAGGTGCGCGCACGAATCATACATAAGGCTGTATAGTTTGGCGCCGTGGATTATATAAATATTTTTTCCGTGAAGGATCGTCTGTGTGCGAGGTGTCGTTTCGTCGGGTGAATCGTTTGTTCGCTTTTGGAGGAGTCTTGATTGTTGCTTCGTTTGGCCAAGCGCTCGACACGCCTAGTCATGTGATAGGCCAGCACAAAGACTTTGGGGGCACAGTCAAGGTTGCATAATCAGTTATGCACGGATTCATTAAATTCACCATCATCAGTTTGGAAAATAAGGAGCGCTTCAATCGCAAGGTAGATTTTGTGCTTAGTTTATTTGGCACATACAATATGTTTTTTCTTATTTAAAAAAAAAAAAAAAAAAAAAACAATGGTGAGAAGACATACATCAGCATTGATGCGCCTCCGTAATATCCATGATGTCTTCATGCAAGCCAACCATGTCTTTCAACCCTTTGGTCTCTGAACATCTGTGGCGTCGACGGCCCAAAACCACAGCCTATAAGTAGTGGCAAGGGTGCATATCAAGAGCCTTGGTATCATAGCTACAAAGTTATTCATATCCCAAACTAGGAATCATCAATTCAAGATTTAAATAGAAATTTTTATTTGATTGAGCGATTCGTAAGCCATGAGCCAATCCCCCAATGTGAACGCATCTAAAAAAGTTCCCAGAAGCAAGTGCCCATCATTATGTCGCAAAAGTTACGACAACAGTTTCCATCGTTTTTTTATATAAAGTAAATCATTGATTGGTGTTTTGTTGCCTCGCCAGGTTTGGATATCATTGTCCGAAATCGGTCGTGACTCTGCCATTGTCGGGGAGGCGTTATTAGCTACGAGAATTAGCAAACTGCTTCTGTATGTCGTCGCACCCGGATAGCCTACAGGATGCAAGTTATCAAACTTACAACTTGTTAGGAGCAGCAGCATTGGTTGTTGGCCACTGGTAACCAGCAGCGTCGCTGAACTTGTAACCGTAAGAGGAGGTGAAGTCGTCCAGAACAGCAGGGCCACGAGAACCTATTAACAATGTAAGTAAAACTCAGCAAGCCTCGCATTAGAAACATACCGTAAGGGTATTCCATGGGAATAATCTCCTTGTTGTCATCAAGATAGTGGAGGAGAGGGGTGAAGATGCGCCAACTGGCGTCGAGCTCGTCGTCACGGACAAAGTTGGACTGGTCACCCTTCAAGCAGTCAAGGACAAGCGACTCGTATGCCTCGGGGATTTTGAGGTCGGAGAATCGTCGTCGATAGGTGAGATCCAGCTCGGTAACAACAGTTTGCATGCTGAGACCAGGTAGCTTAGAGTTCATCTTGATATAGACACTCTCATTGGGCTGAATGCGCATAACAAGCTCGTTTCGGGGAATGTCCTTAAAGATACCCGATGTGACGTCCTTGAACTGGATTCGGATCTCGGTCTTCTGCTCATTGAGAGCCTTTCCGGCCTTCATAATGAAAGGTACGCCGTCCCAGCGCTCGTTCTTGATGTAGGCAACGAGTGCACAGAACGTGGGGCATCTCGAGTCCTTGGGGACAGTGTCATCCTCACGGTAGGCGGGCTTACTACCGTCAAGAGACTTGCCGTACTGGCCAATGATGACGTTCTTGGGCTCAATGGCTGGAATGGCACGGAGAACGCGAACCTTTTCATCACGGATGTCCTCGGCGTTGAAAGAAATGGGCCTCTCCATAGCCAAGAGAGTGAGGACCTGGAGGAGATGGTTCTGCATGACATCACGAACGATACCGAACTCGTCAAAGTAGCCACCGCGGCCCTCGGTGCCGAAGGGCTCCTTGAAGGTGATCTGGACGTTGTCGATGTGGTGTCGGTTCCATGTAGCGCCGAGGAAAGAGTTGCCAAATCTGAGGATCAGAATGTTCTTGACCATCTCCTTGCCAAGGTAGTGGTCAATTCGGAACAGCTCCTGCTCGTTCCAATCAGGCTCGAGTGACTTTTGAAGCTCCCGGGAGCTGGCAAGGTCCTTGCCGAAGGGCTTCTCAACCTGTGGGGATGGTTAGCCAACCTTTGCCATGACGAGGGTATTTTCACTCACAATCACACGCGCGACACCGTTCTTGGGGTAGCAAATCTTCTTCAGATGCTGTGAAACAATGGTGAAGACACTGGGGGGCAGCGCCATGTAGAAAAGACGGTGGTTCTCGGGGCGGCCCTGCTCAACCTCCTGGAGGTGCTGCTCCAAACCCTGGAACGACTCATCCTTGTCGTACTGACCCGAGACGTAGGTGCAAAGCCCGGCGAACTCCTCAAGTTGCTGCTCAGTCTCCTTTGTGGGTGTCTTTATGTATGACTTGATGCGTCGAATGTATTCATCGTGATCCATCTTGGTGCGGGCATATCCGACAATCTTGACATCCTTGGGCAGGAACTGGTTTCGATACTGAGGCCGTGTTAGTCGAGAGAAGAGCGCTCTGTCGAATGGACATGTCACTTACAAGACCGAAAAGCGCAGGGTACTATCATGCAGCAAAATCAAACATGTTAGCACAAGCACATCGGTATGTGAGGGGCAGTTGGGGGAGCTCCCCACCGTCTTCTTTTTCGCCAGATCACCAGAAGCGCCGAGCACGACGATTGTCGTGTTCTGCTTGAGCTCCATGCATCTAGAGGGAAACTGCATCAGTAAAGAGGTTTTTTTTTTATTCACTCGTGTTGTTCAGACATTGAGGCCTGAGGACACGCGATCGTATCGCAAAACGCTCAGCTCAGCGCGAGCATGATAGCTCGCAGCTAAAGCGCAAAGTCATGGTGGGGGTTTTTGGAAGTTGATGGTTGAGGGGAGTACCTACGGATCCATTGTTGAGGTTCAAGTATGGACTGGGGAACGAGATACAACACAGAAGGGAATGAGGATGAGCTGTACAAGACAAAGGGGATAGTGGAGGAAGTATGAGAGAGATCTGGAAGATGGAAATGGAAACGGAAAAGGTGACGAGGTTTTGGGGCCTGGCCAGGAAGGTTTTATGACGACGGGAGCGTCCAATGCCCGCCGCAGACCTGAGCACAGCAGCTGGGGAAGCTAAGGTAACAATCCAAATCCATCCACCTTCATCGATAGGTGGGATCCCTGCGTGAGCGATGGGGCTATGATGCAGTCGGGTCCCTAAAATCCAGAAGTGAATGTCCCTAAAAAAGAGTGTGTGGATAAAAGAGTGTAGGTCCGTACACCGAGGGAGTGAGTTACTTGACGTGGAGGTATTCACCTAACAAAGTCTTGACTGGATCCGGTGATCGGGAAGCCATGATGATGAACTTTGGCCTGGTTATAGTCATTGATGTGTACTATTATGCGATGTCCTTGCGAGGGCATCACTCATATGCACAGGTAGATAGATAAGGAGGTAGGTAGCTGTCTGTTCGTCTTGCGTAGCATAGCATAGCACAGATGTACCCAGCGGCGATTCTATCTCCGGACTCATCACAAACAACCTACCTACCTACCTAATTCACTTCTATTTTGCCTAAATTTTGCCTACCTTACCTATTTACACTTATATGGAGTCTTTTTGAACCGACACTGAGCCCATCAAATCTTCTCGCCCGGGCCAATTGCTTCAGGCGCAAGCGGTCGAATCGTTTCCGTGCTTTCGGGGCCATGCTACGCAACTCAATTGTCTGACTGGATCTGTCGCGGAGTTGACGTATGTATGGTGTTTCCACACACCTCAACCAAGCAACCTCTCTGTGTTTGCTTGTCTCAGCAATACGTAACCAATATTCTTAAGTATCAGCTCTCTCCTCCATCTCATGCCATTTTGTGATTCATGACCAGGCCCGCATCAACACAATGGCAACCGTTGATAGGACACCCAGACTTTTCCATTACACAGTTATGTGCCGTGAGCATGACGAAGCATGATGCTTCTCCAACTAAACAATCCGACTTCTTTGTCAGCTTCTCCGGCACCCCCGGGCATTGATCCCTCACCGAGTCCTGTCCGTCTTGGTTTCGGCGGCGGTGGCGGTCCCTGGATTGCCAAACCAGCGAGCCGCCTAATAAGGTAGCCAGCCCAGTGCAATTGGATTCTACCTATTCTGTCGCTCCCCCAACAGGGAGGGAGGGACACAACGAGGCCCACTGAATCTAGGTACTAACAATCTGATTATCAAGACATTGGGGTGTCGGTGTTGTTCCCGTCTTTCACACACGGAGCGTCGTCCGTTACACGATGCCACTGCCGATTCCTGAAAGTGTACTAAGCATTCTCCTGTTGCTAATCTTGGAGTAAATAGATCAGTAAGGCTCACTAATAAGAGATGACACTCAGATAGATAGTGAACCCCTCCAACTGAATCTCGTAATCCGGCGGCAAGCACGTAGATCAAAATCCGGCCTCACGGCGCAACCGCGGTGTCTCAGGATCTTCTCCATAGTTGTTAGTGATGGAAGTCTGTGACATGCAGCGCTTCGACTTGCCAGACAGATCCACTGAAGACCCCTGTAGCCAGATATGTATCACCTCGACTGAGCAACGCCCTAGGTCTGCAAGCACCGAGAAACAATCTTTTAGGCAGTCAATTAAACTCCGATCATCAGATAACCGGCCAAGAGTCCGAATCTGTTCTCTGGCTTTCCTGCCCGTAAAGGGCCAACTATTGATGAATCGTTCACTCAGTAATTACCTACCTATACAAGATGTTGACAATAATGTATAGGCCAAATACAATGTGGTTCAAGAGTGTAGGCTCACAACAAGTACTCAGTAGATAGCCGTTAGCATGCCAATTATATTACATCCTCCTCTTCACTCAACATAAAATAAAAAAGAACTCCCAATGTACAAAATGGTGAGCTCCGTCAATATCTTCGATGAGCTCATCTTGACCTGCCTTGCTCGGACACCAAATTCCGAACCACTTCGGTGCCAGGATCCACGACCGCCAACTCGGCCCCTCTCTCCCCGGTGTCGGCTTCAACTAGACCCCAAACCTTCACCAAGAAATCATTGGGGCGGAAAAGGTGAATGCAGGAAATGATTCCATGCAACTTCTAATCAAGAAGTCCGCTTAATCAAAGGTACGTAGTCAGCTATCTTGAGGGAATTTATGGCATGGTACTTGAAATATATTCTACCCAGCCACGAGAGTCAACAACATTGTTGAGATTCTCGTGTCAACGTGCCACTTGAGATCTGGAGAGAGCTTCAAATGATGGTTGACGTCCAGGCCTATCAAGGCGCAAGCTGGACCGATGGCCACTGGTTACCTCAACGCTTTACGTCCATACGTAAGGACAATTTACAAAACGATGATCATGTGAATACTGGCGTCACTTTCACCGGTTAAGAATTGTAGAAAAAAGTGTTTTACAGACACAATTGATCCTTCAGATTCGTGTCTGCCATCCAGCATCACCCTGAATATTTGCCTCCGTTGATGGTTTATTAATAAACTGCCTTACTAAGGTAGGTACCTAGGTAAGTAAGGTATCTGTCTGCAAAAAAAAAACAGAAGATCAAAATCGTGAATGCACTAGCCACAGTAGCCACTTCTTAGCCGCAAAGTGGTTTGGCACGTGATATCTAGGGTTGACGAGGAAAGTGCGATTGGCGCACCCTCCCCACTCCACAGATCAATCACCAAACACGCACCTCACCAACGCGAAGGTCTTTCGTTCAAACAATCAGCTATCTACTAACCGCAGGTTGCTTGAGAGGACGGAAGTCATACCACAGTCAAGATGCCTTCAGAAGCCGGTCACCGACGTGAGTTTATCCCGCCCGCCAGAGAAGCGACGAGCACACACACCGACTGGGGGCTCGGTTCGCAAATCTGGAAATCTGAATATCGATGAATTCGTTGCTAACTTTGCCTACAGTATACGTCAAGTGAGTAAAACCTCCTGTCAGCCAGTCTATCACGCATGCGATGTGAGAAGGATGTACTTGCCCAGACAAGTGCGCACTCTTCAGATTTTCGATATCGACATACTCCGCGAAACCACGGCACGAACACAACGAGCGATGGAATTTTGGACTGACGATTTTGGTTTAGGGGACGTCACCTGAGCTACCAGCGCTCTCGTCACACCACCCGCCCTGCTACCAGCCTGATCAAGATTGAGGGTGTTGATGACACCAACGCCGCCAAGTACGTCAACATGAGAGGAATGTTCCCAGTCGGTCTGGATACTGACATTCGTGATAGCTTCTATCTCGGCAAGAAGGTTGCTTTCGTCTACCGGGGCCAGAAGGAGATCCGCGGCACCAAGATCCGCGTGATCTGGGGCAAGGTCACCCGACCACACGGTAATTAATACTCGACTCCGTGAACGACGACACGAACAATCATCTAACTTGTCTCTGCAGGAAACTCCGGCGTCGTCCGCGCCAAGTTCACCTCCCCCCTTCCCACCAAGTCTTTCGGTGCTTCCGTTCGCGTCATGTTGTACCCTTCGTCGATATAAAAAAAGGGGCTTCGGGCTGGAGTTGGTAGTGAGGGCGGTTCTCATTTGGCTGCATTGGTCGAGGCAAGGATAAAACATGTGGCCTTGCTTTGAGGCATTGAATTCAAAAAAGACGTCAAATCCCAACCCCCGAAAAGGCTCTGCACACCTGAGCACCTTCGTCTTGATGATATAACTTCATTCCCCTTTCATGAAACGGTTGGCGGAATTCGATCTCGCCCAGGGCAGTCCACTGGGAGGGGCTTCAGCGATGGAATACTTTTTGGTGGTTGGGATTCGGGACCGGTGTTCGGCTACGGTCGTGAATAGGGTACAAGCGAATCATTGATGAATGCCAGGTCCAGGGCCTCTATTACGGCAGTATACAGCGTTCCTGAAAGCTGGATTGTGATTTGACTCGTGCGGGGAAGTTTTGAGCCATGGTCGGCGTCTTATGATGAATCGGAAACTGCTTTTGAAAACAACACTTCACAACAACCTTTGATGCCTCAACTCGTTCCGCATCCAACAGCTACAGACTCGGATACCTGCGTCGGGTTGCCTCCATGTGTCTTATGTAATGTGATACGCTGCCATATTGTTCGTAATATGCCATAACTTTGTGACCGCGTTCCACTTGCCTACTGCTTCCACCCACCTGCTAATCGTGGTCACATTGTGTATCTACGTGAATCAGCAGAGGCCCATGATCCAGATGCTTCCGCCAGATGTGGCTCGGCCAATGTACTAAAGGTAAACTTGGGGACACACAACTCGTTATTGTCACACAACCTCAGTCATGCTCAAGCGAAGTATATCACCATTGATAGATAATTACTACAATGCTTAAAGATTTGAGAAGCGTTGGACACGCTGTAGAGGGGAGTGAAAGCGAATAAAAACCCGGCATCCTTGGTCAACGATGTTCAGTTGAATATTCTATGTTCAAGACTCGTACTCGTACTACCCAGCAATATGTAGCGAACCTCGCATGCAGACGAGAGCGGCTCGACCAGTCCTCTTATATTGTCTGCATGGGGAGCTTGTAAGCTCTAGGAGAACCAGACGTAAGAAAACTGTATATTCACAACCCAACTCATTCTAAACTCTCCTTCCAGTATCGCGAAGCTGAACATTTGGCAACACCGTCGTGAGTAGAGTTTAGAGTTCAGGTAACTGAGGTATGAATTATATGTTCGGAAAGAGGAAAGGGATTTTTGTATCATGATATCAACCCAAGTATCAATATCAAGGGCCTGGTGCAGCAGTTTCACAGCATAGGATAACACATATACGAAATGCAATAGCTGTGATATCAAATATTGACCAGCCAATCGCCGTGGCAATATCCCGTCAGGGCAGATCCAATTACCTTCCACTGACAGATGCATTGGAACTTGGCGGCGGTCGGA